CCTTCTCAGTTGCATTTGTTGGGTCAAAATCTTGTGCAGAGTGTACAATACGTTTGAAAAGAATATGACCAAGACCATGGCATCCCTTTGTTCAGCACCTCAACTGTCCCGTCTCCTACATTTTTTGTTGACGCGCAGATTCATGTCATAAATTGTTCCCCATTCCTATTGGTGTTGGATTTCCCAACCAATCTACTCATCGCACACCCTCAGAAGCTTTTGTGGACAGACAGACACACCTATACACACTAACAAACCGACAACCAAACCATCCTATTGTTTAGAGTGCTCATGATCCTCTCTGAGGAAGCATCACGAGCACACCAACACCGATCCACAGCGAGGTTTTGAGTTTTGATAGAGTGGGGAAATCGTATGCAGTAGCGGTCCGAAGTGTTCCTCGAAGAGATTTTCGTCCTTCCATTATTTTTTTCACCTCACTGATTTCCTTACAGTCTTAATGTCTTGTGTCTTCTACTAGTTTCGAACCTTTGCGTCAATGGATTCAAGGCGTGCGAGAGAAAATTCCAAAAAAAAACTCGCAAGACTTTTTCAAGAAGAAATTTAATGCTTGAAAAGCCGTCTCGGCGAACACTTTCAAACCATCGGTGATCAAGAAAATACTATAACATCATGTCTCTCCTTGATCTAACAATCATATCCTATTTGAATCGACGACATGCTGTTGTTTCAGCTTCGCCCACTCCTTGAACAAAAACGCCCACTTGGTTGCATTCTATGGCATTTGCTTAGGACTCGGCGAGTTTGTTGGTACGTGGTAGCGTGTTTTTTTTTACTATATGTGACTACACAGTATGCTTATATTTTTCAGGAGGTCTATTCGTGTCTTTCCTGTCGAGGCGAATACACAACTTTAGTTTAACGCCAACAATGCTTTGCCATGCAGCGCTCAGCATCTGCTTCCAGACGCTTGTTCTCCTAGCGTTTCCCAACTGGTCAACAGCACGGCCATCCGGTGGAGAAGGCCTCCTGCTATCGCCCACGTATGTGTGAACATACATGCTTCAATCTCCATGACAAGATGGACATCCACAGTTTTCAGAGTCCTTATTTGCGTCATCTGCGGTCTACTTGTGGGTTTGGCCGATTCAACAATCACTACTGCTCGAACAGTGGTTTGTCAAATTGCAGTACCCCATCGACGACCTCAAGCCTTCTCCCTAAGTAGGCTGATACAGGTGACGAAATGCTTATGCACTGTATTATATAATAATTGTAATAAATAATAATAATGATGTAATCTTCGACGTGCGCTGGGTTTTCTGAAAAATGCAGCCTTGTCACGATGGCGTTACCTCTGAACATGAAAGAGCAAAAGTGACGCCTGCAAAACGATTTTATCTTCATTTCATTAAGAGAATACTGCTATTTCTTGGAAAAGCGGCCATACGAATATATTATTTCCTCAGTTATTACGTAGTCCCCCGTCAACCGCCGGGACCTTCCTTTCCTGCGCAAGCTTTCTATCCTCCGCTATGGTCCCTTCCTCCTGTGACACCAACACCTCGTGGAAGTGACGCGTATGCAACACAATGGTGTTTCAAACAGTAGAAGGGACACAATCATGATATGACGGTAGATTTTTCGCTTCCCTTCCTCATCCTCCCTTCCTCTCTCCACTGCCCTCCAGCTGCCACTGCAGCACCATGTGGAATGAACGGAAGTGTGCTAAGCAGGTGTTTATATAGCCCTAAGAGTGTTATCACAACTATCCTGCTACAAAACATTGATATCTCAAATCCTGTAAGCTACCCGATTTGTTAGCGGTTTGTTTATCCCATGAGCTTCCTTCTCACTCACTTCATTTTGCGGACGGACACACATACATACACACACACACACACACACACACACACATACAGATACACAAACCGACACACAAAGTTAGCGCTTTATAAAATAGAAGGATAAGCCCTTTATTATTGAAGACCAAAAATCGAGAGAATTGTGCCGAGAGTACTGTAGCTCGGAATGCCGGCTCGCTAAGACACTCAGATTTCCAAGATTACGTGTTCTTAACCCTATCTCGGGACTTTTAAAGCGGGATTCCACAATAAGGTCGAAGGTTGAAGCAAGGGGAAACTAATCTAGTGGAAGACAGGCGGACCCCTAAGGGTGCGGACCGACACGCAATTCGCAGCGAAGGATATGCCCCGGCGATCTAGCATGGCCCCTCCCGCGCGCTATCGACGCAATACGCCCACCGACTGGCTAACCACGGTCTCTCTCTGGTTATCTAGCAGCGAGAGCATTAGTGTTAAAGGGGCAGCACCGATGACAAACGCATCATTGCGGAAGTCAACGGGAAGGGAAGCTCATGCTCTCATGCCCTCACGATCCTGTGAAGTGGCGAGAGTTAGCATGGGAACAAGAAGTTTTGCTGCTTCCCCGAGTCGCTGTGGCATCTGTCTAACCGCTCCAGCTTTTGGTACCAGCGATTGTCATCGCTCGTATACGAATCGCTAGCGATACTGGATTTGCATGGTCTGGTAACCGCCCAAACGAATGCATCTGCATCTGTGCTCCAGCGCCCGTTTTTTGGAATCCCTGGAATTTCCAGAAACATTGGCCTCTAGAATGGTTAACAGTGAGATGTTCTGAGATCAGGGCAAAATAGCGAAGAAGGCAAAACTTTCACAACATCTTGAGCGGTTTTCCTGGCTTTGTCGTCTCAGTTGTCAAAGAAGAGGTGGAAAAACACCATCAGAATGGACCTCAAAGTTCAGGGCCACGGCAGAAGTTGCCTTGGACAGAACAAAGTGGCGACGATCAAGAAAGACAGTGGACCCTACGACTGCACTAACGCCAGGGCGAAGAGGAGCGGAACTGAAACATAGTGTAGCTGGTCTAGCCGTTGCATATTTTCTTTGCAACATTTCTATAATATTCAATGCAACTATAAGTTAGTGGCCTGTGAGTTCATTCAGAACAACATCCCTTCCTCACAATGGAAACAACGCGTGATGATCAGTGGAGTAGAGCACTTCCCCGGACGGACTATTAAAAAAGCGATTTTGATCAATTTTTATAATTTTTGAGTTCTATTCGAAGAAATCTATTCCACCGAGCTAATCCTTAACTTTCAGTCGATTTCCTCATCAGTCACACTCTTCTTGTCACCACAAATGTCAGTGGCCTCATGGACGGTGGCGGTGTTGGTAATGTTGGCTATAGGAACGACTTCTTTCGGGTATGTAGCCACGGAGACCACAAAGGTCTCCCCGGATGAAACGAATGACGGTGCTATTTAGT